CCCTCTCTCTCATTCTCTCTCTCTCTCTCTCTCTCTCTCCCTTTGAAAAATATTTATAAAAAAAAAAAACAAACGAAAAAATAGTAGTTGAATTTACACTGTTAAATATTCCTTGCGGTCCGACGTTGCGGCTATACACATAATAAAGTTCGTGAAGAATGAACGTAGAAAAAGAGTCGTCGTATTTTTTCGTATGAAAAGAGTCAACTGCATTCACTAGTCTAACATGAGTACAGCGTTTTTTCTTTCACCCTTTTTTTTTTTTGATCGTTATCACAGTGCTTTAGTACGCTCATTTTTCCCCTTAATATCGAATATTCTCTGGAATATATATAAAAATTAAAATAAGACCGAAACATCGTTTCATCGATTTCCATTTACAACGACGTTACCTCGTACTTTATTGTTACATATAAAAAATTATTACCTAATTTATTGCATGGTATATGCATGTACACACTTACAATTTTGCTTCACTGTATCATCTATCTTCGTTCACCCTCTGAACTCTCTTTTTCGGCCAGTCTCCACCTACTACACTTCTCCCATCCTCAAAACGAAAACTGTACTCTTCTCCCTACATTTATATCTCATTCACGATCGAACATCCAAGAAGAAGTATTGTGAAAAAAACATGAAAAAAATCCTTAAAACGATAACGTAAATACACGGCCTCCTTGAATCGCGATCAGTAATCATTTCCTATTGAAATACAATGTATGAAATACAAAGTCCCTCTTCTCTAGAGTGGTTCGATCGAAAATAGAATTCGAAAGCGAGGAATAAAATCCGACGGATCTTGTCTTTAGAAATTTGAAAAAACCGGCGCTACACACCGGATGATAACCCTATACAAATGTGAGATCCCGTTTTTGTCTACTTAGACGTTGGGGCAGCCGGCTGATGCTGCCCCGCCATCCCCAGTCTTGGTTGCGAGGAAGCGATTAATTCTTTGTAGTATGCGCTGAATTCCGGCGGTAAGAACGACGTGGCGGCCGTGGGCGGAATCGGCGGCGGGAATAAACCGTTGTAGAATGCGGAATAGTACATGGGGTCCAAAATCGGTAGGAACTTGCCGGTCGTGTTTGGCAGTTGCGGGAGGAAGGCTGGATTATTTTGTGGTACCGCAGGCACAAAACCAGAGGGTATACTTGGAACACTGTGTCGTCTTCCAGCCTCCGTTTGCCTGGGTTCCTGTTGTTGCTGTTGTGGCTGCTGCTGCTGTTGTTGCTGCGTGAACAACGACTTGTCGCCCTCGCTGATTCGCCGCTGCTGTTGTTGATGTTGATGTTGATGTTGATGTTGATGCTGATGGTGTTGGTGGTGCGAATGATGTTGATGCTGCTCCTTGATTCCGCTCATTTCCGTGTTTTTTCTCCTGTCGATGGTATTCTGTTGTTGCATAGTTGCCATTCTAGGGTAGCTCGCACTGTTTAGGTGATTTAGGTTAGGTACGTTGGGTATAACAGGGTGACTGGGCTTCCTGGGTGTGTAGGGTGAGACTGGTTCGCTCCTCGTCGTATACTTGCCGTTCAACTGTTGCCTTCTTTGCATAGGTATCGAATTGTTCCTAGGTGGACTCGGCACACGCACGTGTGGGGGCGGCGGTACACCTATGTGATTGTTCTTCTGCTTAGGGTTCACGATAGTGATCTCCAGGTTATTCGAAGCCATGGTTCGACTGTCGAGCACGTTCTGGTAACCAGGAAAGGTACTTCGTTTTGAACAGTCTGTTGGTTTCTCTTTGATCGTGGACGAGTTCCTCATCTCCAGGTTGAGTGGGTTAGGCCTCGGCACTACAGGTACTTTTACTATTTCTAGGCTCGGCCTCGGGAACACCGGCTTGTCGGCCGATTTTTGCGTCAAGTCGAGAACACCGTACGCCGGGTCATTATTATTGTGTAACTGATGGGGCTGCAGACGGTGTTGCAGCGAGAGACGATACTTTGGAGGGACGGGGATCTCTTTAGGATCACCGTAAACCGTCTTTTCGTTGTGTGCGAATATCGACCTCGACTGTGTCACTTTAGGCGGAAATATCCTACCATTAGATACAGTTGGCGGTACGAAACGATGATTTGCTTGATGGTGCATCGACGACGACGTCGGAGGCGGAACGTTCGCGTTCGCGTACAATTGTAACAATGCCGCGTTGTTCGAAGTACCAAGGTTTATCACACGGCTGTTCACCATGTTGTTATTCATCATATTATTATTATTATTATTATTATTATTACTATTATTATTATTATTATGAGCTGGAGGTTGCTTGTTCGGTGTTGGTAACCGTGCTTGATGATGAGGATGCTGGTGTTCTTGAAGTGAAGACAACATGTGCCCGATGTCAGGTGTCACGGTGACGGAAATTAGTTTAGGAATGGAATTAGGCGTGACTGGAAGAGGGTAGGATATTGGCGGTTTTTCCTCGGACTTCATGGTCGCCGGAGCAGGGGGATTGCTTTGGATCACACTGGGCCGCGTGTCTAGGTCAACGGCAGTGACTTCGAGGCCACCCTCACGAAGGATCTCCAACTTACGCTTCTTGAAACTGGGAATGATTATCTTATCCCTACTTGTGTCGCTCTCCGTCTCTAAATCGATCACCTCTGGTGATCTCGGAGGTACTATCGCCTTCTCCGCGAAAATGGACTTCTCGCCAAACAACGGGATGTTCTCCTTGCCCTGTGCCAGCAGGGTGGTCTGTTTAGGATCCAGTTTGATTTCCTTCATGTCTTTCTCCGGCGGAGGCGTTAATGTTACTACTGTAGGAGCATTCGTTGCCACTGTGGTTACCGGTAGAGCCGGCGGCGAACACGACGGTGGTACTTGTTGCGATATCAGAGGACTGTTCAGCTGCCTCTCTAACACGCTTTGACTTCCAGTACCATTCGTGGGTGTGGTGGAGGGTGTACTGCTTGGTGTTGAAATTGACGTATTAGAAGAGGGTGGTGGACTTGGCAGTTGGCTGGCTTGCTGGCTGGGTGATGGTGTACTATTGGCGATCATGGTGTTTAATGATTTCAGCCGTTCTGGCTTTACTCGTACGCTACGCAGAGACGAGGTCTTGACACTATCTGACTTGGGTTTTTCGCCTGAATAGAACGGCTGGAAAAACCGAAGCATTTTAGGGGATAATCGCATTATAGATTAAATAGATATTACACGGGACAGTATTAAGGCTACTTACTGTTGTCGACAAAATTAGTTGAAGGGGAGGAGTAGCAGCGGTAAGACTGAGACTCGTTTCCACAGATGGAGGCGTTTCTGATGGATATTGTTCGTTCGTTTCTTGCTTAACATCCTCAGACTCCTCGGATACACTGCTACTCTTAGTCCGTCTTCCGTGTGTCAGTCTAACTTTTGCTTCTTCTCCCCTTTGATACCTTTCATAGGGTAACAGCAACCTGTTTGCATGTAAACAACAATTCTATTGATCGCTGTTGAATTTCGAAACAACGCAATAGATATTGTTCATGTGCCTCACCTTTCGTAATGTCGACGAGTGATTGTGGCAGCGCTGGTAGATCCGGTGTTACCACCTATATCGTCGTAGATGTTCTTCCAAAGTCGACCAGCGCTGACAGAGTCGTAGCCACCGAGCATTTGCACTTTCGTATAAAACAGAAAGAGATCAACTGCAAATAAAAGTATCTTGGTTAGAAATATCCTGGCATTGTATTTTATTCGTAAGATTAATGTGATTTGTCAAAAGGAAACACTGCTGTAGATCATCCTGTAGAACAGTACCAAACACTGTTTTATTAATTTACTAAAAATGGACGAAATCGCGTGATATTAAAAGTGTCTACGATTTTTCGCCAATTGTTGAAAAAAAGGAGGGGCGGGGGAAGGTGTCACACAGATACTGACTCTGCCTGTAGCCCAGCAGTGGCATCTTTCCGACAGGCGTACCCCGCGAGTTCATGAAATTCTGCACGTCCGTGAGGAACTTCTTTTCCTCCGCGCTAGTTTTCCGCTCGCTCCGTCGAACCACCGACGAGGGCGGCCTGCCAACGCTTGGTACCACGACGTTCGAACTTGCTGGCACGCTCTTCGAGGTGGATGCGACAGAGGCCTCGCTCTCGTTGCTCGATTCACCTGGCGACGCGCTGCGCTTTTTGCGTTTCCTCCGCGGTCGTCCTTTTAATTTTGGCGCTAAAAATATACGATTACTTTAACAATCCTTTTCACAATCTAACGTTAAATATCTTATGCTTGTTTTCACTCTAAATTGGCCAGTTTTTCTTTTTTTTTTATTTTATACCGAAATGTCTCAAAATGAGGATACAACGTGCACCTTAAAAAGAAACATCGACGATAACTGTTGATAACATTAACGACGGTTATAAAACGTTCGAAAGTTACCTAAAACGCTTAAAGTTTATGGTCGCGCATTTTTTCTCATAATATCAGACTACAGTTTCGATGTTTGTTTTGAAGCGGCTCTGACGGTTCGCATCCGTATTATACATATACGTACATATGTAACACAATAATTCCTGGCTCACACGATTTCCGTTGCAGTTTAAAATACTGGCTCATCACGATCGCGTGGCTTATTTTAATTTCCCATAATGGACAGAAATTACGCGTGCAAAATGAATAGAAAACAACCAATCTCATTAAGTTAACGTTCTCTTAATTTTCCAGGAATTAAAACAAAAAATATTAACATTTTTCTGTTACATTTTTAAATGAAAAGCTCAGAACGTGTAACAGTCGCATTGTGTACGCTGTTGTTGCACAAATGATAATGCAAGTCACATAAAATTTTAGCAATTACGGTATAACGCTTAATTTAGAAGCGTAATGACAGTTGCGAACCATACTTTAACTTCACATGTATTTCACATTGTCAGACCTGGAAAATACAACAGCACGCGGTTAAATTTAACATAACCAGTGAAAAAAAAAAAACGATCCCGCTTATCGAGATTTTACGAAATTAAGTTTCCAGATTTAACGTGCCACTATGTTATTTAAACGTATTTTACACTACGCATTTACTGCGCAATGGACGTTATGTACTAACGTTTACACTAGTCAGGACTCTTCACAAGCAGTTCGCAAACAGCTTGCGAACTATTGTAATTTACTTATATGTTAAAGATAGAATTTAAATAGATTTAAAAAATTGAAGGTTATCTTCATTTCTTAAAAAATAATGCAAACTCAAACAATTCACATGTGTAAGTCGTTATATTGTTTACAAAAAATAGTATCACTTATTTCGTATGTACACTACCGGCCAAAAGTTTGGAATCACCTGTTAATTTACATCAATCTTGAATTTGCTATTAATTCTTTATAAACCTGAAATTGATGTTGTGGAAACCAATAGCACTTGACCTCACTTCGATTAATTTGAATGACAAAAAGTTCGTCGAAAAATTCTTAAAATTGCTAACTTTTTTCTGGAAATTTTTGTATAACTTACAATGCACAGTGATTCGAAACATTTGGCCGGTAGTGTATATACATATGCATGTGTGGAATTTCTTATTAAGTGACTAAATGTAAACCGAATTATACCGTATTTGGTCTCATTTTAATCAAAAAAATATCGTGGATATGTTAGTAAAAATTTTATTAACAAAACAAAACAAAAAAATTTTCTCTTTTGTATTAGTGTTGTCTCACCGATATGTACTTAGGTATTTAATATTGTAGGACTGTCTCGACTTTTAATACCTCTCTCTTCTTTGTCCGCTGTCTCTTTCTGCGTCCGTCGGTGTCAGTAAAATGCAAACAGTTTGAAGAAACTAATACCTGTCCCGTAATTGTCCACAGCGGTCTCGAATTTCGAACTCTTATCGAGTCTTTACTGTATACAGTATACAATGTAGTCGTTTCTGCTCGAGCGGCTGTAGCGTACTGTACCACGTGCACGTGTCGCGTTTCAATGCTCGGAAAATTAACAGACTTTACAACGATTTTTCCTATGTATAAAGCTCATAAATTTTCATTTATGGCACTCACCGATCACTTCAAAATACACAATACGATTCTCTTTGATTCTCATTAAAATAGGCATTTGTATTTCGTATCGCATAAAAAGTCAACGAATAGATCACTTGAAAACACGCACAAGTCACTGTCAATTTATTATTTCTATCGTTTTAAATTGTATAACTTCTACAAACACTGGTAAACCGTTCTAATCCAAATTTAAAGACAGACGTTCATTCCATAGACCGTGCTAATCCGGATCACGACCGTCATTGCTACAGCGACGAAGTAACGCACCGATAGAATCTCTCGTAACGTTCTTCCCACTAGCCTTACCCGACAGATTGTTTTTGAAATGGCTCTCGCTAGTCAACCGTATGCACTTATGATTGCAACGATTGCGCGCGAAACTCTGTCGGTAAGTGGTATCCTAAACTACGAAAATTGATATCTAATTAGGTCATGCTCATTAACACGTCGCGTATGACTCGTCAAGCTACATGTTTTCCTATTAATTCATTAGCTTTGCGTTTCCATGAAATAATTCCAGAAAATTTACTGTAAAGAATTAGTGAATACATGTACATACCGCGAAATTGACTTAAAAGATTAATAAGGTTATTCAACTGCCTTCCTTACCTAGATGGTTGCAAAGAAGTTCGTGAGTCTCCAGATCTGGATAGTCGAAGGTGTCTCTGCAGAAGAGTATCCTGGTACCCGGTGTGGCGGTAAATCCACCCAGAGCAGCCGCTATAGACGAGCAAAGCCAGGACGGTTCGGCACCTTCGAGCCTACGTAGCAGCGCTCGATATCGACAGTACCTGGGGTACGAGAGCACCACCACCTTCGTCTGGGAGGTACAATCTGTTTTCCTCGTGCTATGATTGCTTTCGTATTCCTTCTGTTGCTTATCGACGTCTGAGAAATCGATGCCAGGGTCGGTGAGCACTTGTGGTTGAGGTATCTCGTACCTTAGCGGGCTGCACTCCGGTGAGGACGTCGGTGTCGATGGGTAAGATACCTCCCGACCCCATGACCATTCCAGCGTGGGCGATAACCATGTGACCAGGTCGTGGACGCGGACCACCACCTTTTCTGATATCGTCAGCACTTCGTCCTGCAATTAGATAAATATTTTTCTCATGTAGACACTCGACCATTTTTTTTTTAACGAAATAGAGTTTGAAAAAGAAGTAGAATAGAATCGATAAAAGTAATCAGAATCTTCGTCGAATACGGATATCCCTAACTTATCATTTAAGCGACCTTTCTTTCGCCACTAAATCTCCTTAATTCTTGTCAAACTTGCCTTTATAAACGCTATAAATATGTATTTCCACGAAACTTCTGTACTATTGCTGTATCTCGAAGAACTGGGTCAAAAAGTTTTCTACGTGTTTTATCATGCAATTTCAGTATGCACGGTCGTTTTCTTTATTGTAAAAGTTTAAAGCACGCTTAAAACGTTGTTCTTATATTAAATTGAATTATTCCTTGAATTAAAATGAATTTCTTCAAGGAGAATGTAAAGTGAGAGAGTAACGAAGTTTATTAATTTTAATTGAAGTTCAGGTAGAAATCTCTTTTACCATTTGTATCTATCTTGTTCCTTATTTTACCGACATTCCATCGACAGATGGAGGCACAGTCAAGTCTTTGACGGTACTTGAACTCCCCGTAATCTGACCCGTCCACTACATAGATCTACTTGTCGCGGGCACAGCTGAAACACCTATGTTCTCTCGTTATGTATACACATAATCCAGCTAACGTAACTCGTGGTTTATGTTGTACCTCGAGTGCATCGTTATCTACTCTGCTTCGGCGATAATTTAATTGTCCGCGATGCCAGTGGCGACGTCATTTTCACAAAGTTTGACCTAACTCTTGGACCTGCTGATTTGTGAGATTTAATTCAACTGTAGGATTTTCCTTTATCATTTAAGCTTGAATGTCGCTGATGAATGCTGACAAAAGTACACCACGATAAAAAGTAACATCAATCCTTTAACAATTACGACTAGTTTCGAGTGCAAAAGGAATATTTTTTTAATTAAAAGAAGGAAAAAGCAAATACAATTTTCCATACCCGTGTATCTTGATCGAGCAACGGCCCCTAATGATTCATAAACTTAAACATCGAAATTTATTGCAGAGACGTTGAACGCGAGAACAAGTCCCTAGAAGTCGGTATAAATCACAGTGTAAAAGTAAACGAACCAAGTATTCGCACTTTTCTTTTCGTCCAAGTTTCAAAAGGACTGAAATCAGATGGTAGAAAAAACCCTCGGAACTAAATCAAAACCAAAACTCGCTGGCCCCCTTTAATTAATGATACCAAGAGGAACAATTTCAACTATTCGCAGTAGTGGAATAAGCCACGTTTATTCATAGAACGACTCAAGAGAGTCCATTGTTATATTTAATTAACATCGCTAGCGATGTTCCGGTGCACAATTAGCTTACATAACCGGGGAAGATTCGTTAGCGAGTAGAAATCGAATCGGCCGGAAAGAATTGAGATTCAACGAGGAGCAATTGCGAGAGGAGATGCACTTGAACCGTTCGCTCCGCGGGCAAATCCGTTTACCCACGGTGGAAAGAGAGCCTTGAGCCAAGTAAAATGGCCGGGTTTTAACCCCTTGCCACTCCAGCCGCCAGCTAAGTCTGCTGTAAGACGTTGGGGAATCGCAGTTAAATTCGACAATGTCGCTTCTTCCACAAAGAACTCCCCTATTCACACGTACAAATAATCTTTTTTTACACAAACGTCAAGTGTGTCCACTGTGATTTAAGAAAGAATTCAGAATCCACTTGTTTATCCACGACATAAAGCTCTATTTAATTTGGGAGTCACTGTAGTCGAGGTTATACTTTCATCTTTTAGCTCCATGCTCATCCGTGCCCTCTTTGCTTCAACTCGACTTCTCTCTCTCTTTTGGGGACTTCTCTTCTCTCACCTTTCAGCATCGCCTCGTTCACTTATTTGCTTGCCAGGTTTGTTCAGATTCTCTCCTTTCCTACCTTATCTATTAGCTCACTTTTGCTTCCTATCAATTCGATGATCGAGAGAGAATCACAATCGAATGTCCGAATTCATAGAAACGTTTTCACGAATATGACAGGGAAAAGGTGGACAGAGAAGAGGGGCTAGTTACACGAGAGAGTATCGTTCCCATCGCTAGCCTTGCACTTGGCCACGGATTCCTCCCTCTCCCCTCCTCACACTCTCTCTCTCTCTCCCGCCCTCTCGGTCACGTACATTGCTGCTCGTTTCCTCTCATTGTGAGTCTAGCAAACCTGGGGGGGGATTTAGCTCCCTTTCTCTTCACTGCACCGCTCCATTCCCTGTCTCCGTCCAGCTTCCGATTCTTCCCGTACACGGCTGGTTGCTCTCTTTCAGGGGCGTTCTCTGCTCCTGAATCACGACTCCGAAAACAAACCTTCCGTCTTAATCGCAGGGACACGCGAAAACGGTGAAGCAGAATGGGTGACCGAGAGAGGTATCACCCTGGTGCACAAAGAAGAATCCTTCGACATGTTGGCTTCTTTTCTTCCTCTTTTTTCCCTCTCCCTTTTGTTCACCACTCCGTGTATTTTATTGTCGTGATTTCCTAAGTGGGTTCTATCGACTTTTTGCCTTTCTTGTTTCTCCTACCCCGCTATCGGATTCTGTTACACGTTGATATCGTTTCAATTAGATCTCTCCGCACGCGCTTTTTCCATCCGATTTCAATCGGTTTCGTTATCAGGCTAGGAATCGCGTGTCCGATTATTCGCGTATTACATTCAGCGGCGTTGTTTCAGAGGAGAGACCGGGTAAACTGCGGCAACTTCGTAATCACGTTAAAGCCGGCTAGTGAAACTGATGGTGGGAGTTCAAACTCGCAACTCGATTCTATTTAAATATTTAAATGCAGTTTTAAACTTTTCCCTCCTTCGAGGCGAACTTTCTCCAAATTGGTAATCTCTTACTTTTCAATCGGCCAGTCTGAGAAGCACTTGAAGGAGAAATGTAATTAGCCGATAGTAAATTTTCGATGGCTACAACGTCAATCAAAGATCTCTCGTTGGTTAGAGATGGAAACAGAGCGGGGGAGATTCTATCTGTGGCCGATTATCAAGTGCAATTCGATTAATCGCCATGGAATTAAGCTAGACAGTTGTTCTCGTTCGGAAACGTTGAAAAAGAGGGGGGCAAGGGACCGGAGAGTGATGTACAGGGAGGAAAAGTGGGTACGGTTCCAGGCATTTCCCTCTCCTCGCGTATGCATAAGTAAATTTCGCTTGTCCACCGGTCTATTTAAATTTTTAATGAAAAACCAACGCGGGAAAAGCAGTTAAAGTTACGCTTTTATTAATGACCGAACGGGTATTTCGATAAATTTCTCACGGCTTGGGGACGTCCGAAACGCGCATATTTCAAAGAAACTCGCAACCCCAAGTTTCACGCACTTCATAAAATTCAATTTAATAATGCGCCGCGAGAATCGTATTGTTCGAAGCGAGAAACTTTTCACGAAAGGAACCTATCGAGGAAATTGCATTTCTCTCGAAACGTTCAAATATCTCGAGAAGAAACATTCTATTCGGTGATTCTTTATTGCGCTCGGATGTTTGTTCATAAGAGAAAACAGCTGGTTTATCCCCGATCGATGTTTCTTCTACGAATCTTAAAGAAAAGAGAAAGGAAAAGAATAGCAATCCTATGATCATTTGAAAGTGTAAACAAAACGACAGTTACAGTAGAAGATAAGGAAACACACCGGAGAGTCATTTTGCATTTCTAAAATTTGGCTAGCTTCCGTCGTCTGTGCATCCAGAAGATGAGACAAACTCTCTCTCTATGCACCCGAGCATTCCCCTTGACTGCACATATCCGAGATGTGTATCTAGAAGAGGGAGAGCCAGGTTGGGTAGGTAGGTTTGGCTAGGGAGAGACAAGGCGATAGAGGGATTAAAGGGGTCACCGAAGGGAAAGGGAGGAGGATGAGTAGGATGAGAAGAAGGAAGAGGGAACGAGGGCAGAGAAGGGTGGAGAGAGGGCAGTTGCATATGTGTAGGAGCAACAATGTGTCAGAAGGTAGCGCAATGTTAGCACAGACACAGGCACAGTTCTAACCCCAAACTCACGACATGGACAGTATGCACGGAATCATGTGGAAATGTATTCCGACGTTGCTATGGGGATTCGCCTGCCACCCTAAACACACCGATAACCTATCAATTCGCCAACACCGAACGACCCGGCAAAGTATAACAGCCGATAATGTTCTACTGTAAATAGGACATTATTCCGTGTGGATTTTTCCCTGCAATTTCGTTGCATCGTGTGAACTGTGTAATTGTTTCAGAACACCGTGCCTCGATTAAGATTTTTATCGGGAATGTCAGTCAGACGGTGTGTTAGCCTTTTAAGTTTCGTTTACTTTGATCTGTGCCGCGTGTTATGTTAAATGTTGCGAATGATATTCGATTATTTTTCTGACGAAATGATAAATGGATCGTTGGTACGGTGAAAAATTTCACTGTTGTCATCGATGAACGGGGAGAAATTATAGGAATACTCGGGCAACATTTATCGAACGAACAGAATTGCCCTCGTTTCGCAGTTTTCACGTCTCCCAGCGGCTATTAAAGAGTAGCGGGGATGGATTAAGCCAAGTTCCAGCTGGGGTTAACAACCAATATCAAGGGATGGGATGAAAAGGGTTCACAGTTAACTGCTAAGCCAGCGAAAAGATAGGGTAAGACGACTCCGGGAATGTTTTATGGCAGTGGTCCAAATGATGTTTGTGGCTCGATGTAGAATACTAATGTAAGAATTGTTAATGAACTTCTGCTGGGTGTATTAGGAAAAGTAATTTGGAGTTTGCCTAACTGCTTTCTCTCGCTGTCTCTCCTCCCCTTGTTTTATCTATATTGTCTTGTATACAGCTGACTAATAACGTTTCAGAATAGATCCTTCCTATATTTTTTGTTTATTAACACATCTTGCGCGGGAAGCGACTAAAGTCGTTTTGCACGGATTATTGGTGGATTATTGTTATCGATGGGCTTTTGTAATGTTTTTACAATAAGATCGGACGCCCTTATATTTCAACATTAAAACTTGCG